TTTGATGCCTATTTAGTTTTTTGATGTCTATTTAGTTTTTTTTTGATGTCTATTTAGTTTTTTTTTTAACCCCTCTCCCCCCCAGGATGCCCCAGGCATTCGAAACCCCGAACCGTTAACCTCGAAACCCCAACCCCACACTGTAACCCGAAACCCTACACCATAAAGCTTGCGGTCCTATACCGTAAACCTTGGCCCAGCATCACGATCTCCCAGAAGCTCGGGAAGAAGGCGGTGAGGGCAAACAGAAGCCGCAGCCGATTCGAGTTCACCACAACCTCGGCCTCTTGTGAGTTTCGGTTTAGGGCTTTGGGTTTAAGGTTCAGGGTTTAGGGTTCCATAAAGTGGTCTTTGTAGGGTAATTTGAAATTGTACGGTTTCTATTTTTGTGGTAGGGTGCTACAAGGCCTGGGGCTTAAGGATTTAAAGGCTCACGGACTGTGCGGGTTCATAACCCTGTGTATAGAGCTCCATAGCGCAGGATAAGGATTTCCAATTCAATTCAGTTTGTCGGTGTCAAGGTGGAGATTTTGGCGGTGTCGGCAAAACGGTAGAGCGGGGATTAGAAGTTGGGTTGTAAAGGTTAAGAAAAGAGGAGATTGGGTTTGGTAGGTAGGGCATCTCCCGCCTCATCGTACTGAATAGCCCGCACAACAGCTCGTGCCACTTCTTCCGGCGTCGTGTAGCCTAGATTTTTACCACTCTCCTCAATGGTGGTTCCAGTGTTCTGGCAAGCCCGATCTGCCAGCCCTGTGTCTTTCACAAGACCGGGGCTTATGCAATGAACTGTCACAGGGCTCTGCTCCACAAGCATCTCTAAGCGAAGAGACAGCGTAAAACTGCTCAGCGCCGCCTTCGTAGCGGCGTAGATGCTGCTGTAGGGGACAGAAAGCTTCGAGGTGATTGACGATATGTTCACCACATGGGCTTGCTTTTGCTTGAAGAGTTCTGGCAAAAAGCGCTTCGTGAGATGCAGGGTGCCACACAGGTTTGTTTGCAGCATCGCGTCCAGTGCTTCTGTTGGGAAAGATTCAAAGAAACAGGGAGTCATGACCCCCGCATTGTTGATGAGGACTTGGCAAGGGCCGAAGGTGGTAGCCTGGCGTAGGAAGTCGTTTCGGCTCTCACCGTCCGTCACGTCCAACTTCAGCGTCAGGACCTTCACCTGGCGACTTCTTCACAAAGCAAAGGCTCTGACCCTGCAAAAAATCTGGCCCTGCACACAACTTCTGCCCCCTACCCTGCCCACCGCTTGCCTTCGGGAAGCGGTTCACAAGGTCGGCTTTGACCTCTTCCAGCCTCTCCACGCGCCGGGCGCCCAAGACCAGCTTCTCCATGCCCTCGGCCGCAAGCGTATGCGCGATGAACACTCCCAGACCATCAGAGGCGCCGGTGACTGCGCAGCACAGCCCCTTCAGCTCGTGCACACGCTTTGGGAAGAATGTCACGTACAACAACACCGCCAGCAGCGACAGCAAGAGAGCCCCACCTCCAGGGGCAAATTCAAGAGCTTCAGCTCAAAGGCTAAGTTTAAGAACACCTGACTGCAGACACGCCCGTACCTGTATAGGCAACCAGCCGCAACAGCAGCCACATGAATTTAAATCCCTTGATAAGAGCTACAGCTCGTAGCCTGAAGCGCCGACGGCTTGTCGAAGTGATGTCTAATTCGCACTGACTGCGGAAAATCTGATGACACAAAGCATGCCAAGGGCAATCAACTTTGTGGCAGTCGTGGTAGTAGTGGCAGTGGTGGTGGTGGTGGTGGCGGTGGTGGCGGGTGGCGGTGGCGGCGGTGGTGGTGGTGGCGGTGGTGGTGGCGGTGGCGGTGGTGGCGGTGGCGGTGGTGGCGGTGGTGGCGGCGGCGGTGGTGGTGGCGGCGGTGGTGGTGGCGGTGGTGGCGGGGGTGGTGGTGGTGGTGGTGGTGGTGGTGGTGGTGGTGGTGGTGGTGGTGGCAGTCGTTGTTGTAGTGTTGCAGTAGCAGTAGCAGTAGCAGCAGCAGTAGCAGTAGCAGTAGCAGCAGCAGTAGCAGTAGCAGTAGCAGTAGCAGTAGCAGCAGCAGCAGCAGCAGCAGTAGTAGTAGGAGGGGGTGGAGGATGAGTCGTCGTCGTCGTTTTGGTGATGGTAGCAGCAATAATAGTAGTAGAAATGCCAGCATGCCAGCAGCAGTAGCAGCAGCAGAAGAAGAAGTAGCAGCAGCAGTAGCAGCAGCAGCACTGATGGTAGCAGTGGCAGCGGCAGCTGCATGGCCGTGCTTAGCTCCTAGGCCCTTTAACAACTGGGCCTTGGACCGCAAGATCCCAACAATCCCGATCAAGTACCCTGCAGTAAAACCCCGAAACCCCAAAGCACAAATATCCTGAAAAACTGCACACGCACAATCCAAGGCCCTAAGCCCTTGCTGTGTCTTGTTTTGATGTACCCCAGCCATCACGCATAAGACCCTGACAAGTTTCGGGGTTTAGTAACTAAGGTTTTAGGGTTGAGGGTTAGAAACCAGAAAAGACAGTGACCCTTTGATGGCGCAAGTCCTTCAAAGCCCACGAGTTCAGCATCACATCGAGCCTTCTAGCATAAAGTCTGCGCACGGGGTGCGGTTGGAGAATAAGGCTTAGAGCGTAAAATAGAAAGTTTAAGGCGGAAGGTTGGTGGCAACAGGCTTATCGTTCAAGCACTCATTTTGCGGGTGGGAGGTCTCTTTGGCTTCCAGCGGCACGAGAAATTTGTTCAGGGGTTCATGCATTCTGATGGCAAGGTTCGATTCTTGGGGCGAGGCCGGGGGACCGAAGCCGGGGTGGTCATTAGGGTTTAGGATTTAGGGATGAAGGCATACTAAGGTTCTTAATTTTTTTGTCTCCCCATTCGCTAGCTGAGGAAGATAAGCGGTAGGGTACAGCTTGAGACGAGAGGCTGTAAGAGTAACCTTCATAGTTGGGGCAGGAACGAAGATGCAGATAGCAAGCACACGGGCAAGACTCTGACTGACGGACTTCTTTGCTGAATACTGCGATGATATGATATAATATGATATAATATCATATCATATCTTATAATATAACAAAAAATATAATATAATGAAACATAATAGAACATAACATAATATAACGTAACATAACATAACATAACATAACATAATATGATATCCTATAAATGCACGAGCGATCGCAGAGTTCAACACATGCAGTCGCGGACGGCAGCTGCGCAACGCCTACTGGTCATCTGGACATGTGCAAGCACAAACGACAGAACCAGCGACAACTCGAAGAAGCAGTATTATATTCCAGTACATAAACTATTTTACACTCAACTATATGATACTACATGCTTCTGTTGTATCCGACATTATATTTAATAAGTTCTAGAATACTATTTTCCGATATCTGACCTGAAGGCGCAAAGCCCCACCTCGAGCAGAGAGACAACATTCGGATGCATTCAGGAGGTTCGGTCCGAGGCGTAACTCACACGAGCACGACCATCACAGCAGTGGTACCGCTGACAAGTCCTAGATGATTGAAGCACGGCTTCGGTGCCTTTCCTGCTCCGCATCTGCAGACATGAGATTTCTGCTTGCTGAAACTCGCGACTCTTGCTGAAACCATCCTAACCCCCAAAACCCTGAACTCCCGACCCAATCTCTAAACCCCTGAACCCCTTCAGTAAGCCTTACAGTAACTTCTTCACTGAAGGAAACGTCGGCCAGGCCCCATGCGCTTGCACCCGCCACTGCAAGCGATCAAGGAAAGGCATCCGCGCCCAGGTCTCGGGGAGATAGCTCAAGCCTTGAACAGCTTCAGATATCCCGGGTTTAGGCTTTCGGGTCTAGAGTTTAGGGTATCGGGTTTTGGGTTTATGGGTTGGGCCCACAGACTCGCACGCAGGGTTTAGGGTTTAGGGGCCTAGGCTTTCGGGTCAGAGGTCCCTTGAACAAGGGTTTAGGGTTTAGGGTTGAGGGTTTAGGGTTTAGGGTTTAGGGTTTAGGGTTTTTGTTAGGTTAGAGTTCCTTTGAAGGCTTCTTCAAGAAGGGATACTCGGGGGTTTGGAGGACTAGAGGCTTGGGGTTTCAATGGGTTTAAGGCTCAGGGCTTCGAGGCACAAGGGTTGGATTTAAGTCTTGCTCGGGGTCAAAACCGGGTTAGGGTTGAAGGTTCCGGGTGTACCCTGTAGACCAAAGGGCCACCATGCCCATGATCCTCTTTGTCCAAGATGATGCAAAGGCACCGTAAGTGCTTCGCGGTTGGGATGTGAGTATAAGAGTTTTGGAGATGTAGCTTTGGGAAGGCTACACCTGCAAACTCGTACACTCACATCCCAACCGCGAAACAACAAGTTGGGGCTTGGGACGGCCCCGAGCCGATTGCTGTAGCGGCTACCCACCCGGCTCCCACGCACCCACTCATCCGAAAGCACGTTCCAACTCCTTGGCCACCTCTAGGTCTTACTCATCTGCAGCCGAAAGCCAAAACGGCTGTGGTTCAGGACTTGGTAGTTTTTCGGTAGGGCTGCAGGCGGTGGATGTGCCGACCCTGAACCGTTTTGAACCCGGAACCGCAATGACCCGACGTGGAAAAGCCTGAAAGCTGCCGCCCAACACATGGACCCCAAAATGCAGGATGCCAAATCCGAGGCTCGAAGATCTGAACTTGAACTCGAAGAAAGGTCAGCGAACATCAAGACTAAGAAATCCCGTACCGTAAGTATCATGGTGTGATACGGTTTCGGGCTCGCGACAACCCTGAAGACCCGGTGCAAGTGCCTGCCTACGCCCAGCTCTGTAAAGTGCGGCGCAATCGTGCCGATGCCACTCAACGACACCTGTTGCAGATTGCTGACTTCGCTTCCCAGCTAGGGCCTTCGACCTTTATGGGAGGCTTCAGGGCTTCATGGTTCAGGGTTTGCTGTAGGGTTTGCAAAGTGTCTAATGCTTCAGGGTCAAAGCTTGCAGCCAGAGGGCTGGGGGAAGGGATTTGAGGCGTCACGCAGTGTTGAGTGAAACTGCCAAGGTTGAGGCTCTTGATGAAGCGTCTGGCCTTCCGTTGAGTCCGAAACACTTTTCGGGGTCCGCATCACGGTACACTCCAGGTTGATTGAAGCAAATCCCATTGTGGCGGGTGGGGCCCTTACAAGGGCATTTGCCTCTGTCTTTGCAACAAATCCCTCGAAGCGGCGACCGATCCAAGACAGCAGGCCTTTCAACACGTCCACGAGACCCTAAACCCTAAACCGTAAACCCTAAACTCTAAACCCTGAACCCGAAGCCCTAAACCGAGTTCTGGCCCTTCAAGCCTTACGTGCTTGGTTTAGGCCCCAAGGTCCTAAGGTGAGGCCGGCCCTTTTGAGGGCTTTAGGTTTAGGGGGTCCCAGAAACGCCGGAACAGGGCCCATCCAACAAGCACGTACGTTTCCCTCGTCCCATTAGACCCCTCGCAACCACTGAAAGCCCAAAAGCCCTTAACCCCGAAACCCGAGACCCTCAACCTTTAGCCACTAAATCCCCAAAACCCTAAAACCAACAAACCCCAGAAACCCTAAACCTAAATCCTAACTCAAAGCCTTTGACCTACACCCCTGGAAGCCCCGAATCCCTACAATCCCCAACAAAACTTGAATCCCACAAAGGCACCGAGGCACCTGATAGTCGAGCCAAGCGGAGCCGCTCCAGCGTTGAAGGACGAGATCGTTGGCAAAGTGAAGACTCTCATTAGCCTCTGTTTTCGGGTTTGGGGTTTTGGGTTTAGGACAGGCTGGAGTTAGTATTAGGAATTGCAATTATGCTGGGCTCCCTGACTCGATTGACTCGAAATACCTTCGGCACAAAGTGCTAAAGATAGCAAGACCCGTCCAGCGTCAGGACACCCCTGAACCCTTTTGTACCACCGGCTTGATCGGAGCTCGCCCGGAACCCTAAACCCTAGCAGAACCGGCGGTTCTCAAAGAGACCCCTAAACCCTAAGCCCTAAAATCTTACGAAGGACAGGAACCAGAGCTCTGGCCTGCCAGTATCGGGTCTGCTGCACGATGCCCGCTTTCAGAGTCAGTCTTCATCATGGTTCCCCCGAAACATCCCAGGGAAGGTGCTGGAGCTTCATATAATAGCCCTAATACACAGAATATCAGAAATTAGATTTGGGAACCCTCATCATCTCCTATAGCAGATCACCTGCTTAGAGCTTTTGAAACTAGGGGTCATTAAAGGCCTACATCCGGGCCCTTTAACTGTGACATGAAAATCGCATCTCCACCAAACAGTCGGTGCTGGTGTTGCTGCGCCTGCTGCGCGTCATCCGTGCCATGGGACCATGTCTCTGCATGCGTTCCATCTTGTTCCGGATGAAGCCCGAGTTGCAGGGTTTGGGATTTGGGGTACAGAGCTCCGGGCACTGGTGCAACCTCAACCCCCCAAACCCTCAACGGACCCTAAACCGAACCCCTAAGCCTCTACTCCCTTCTGCCCTAAAGTCCCTAAACCCTTTTTGAACCAGGAGCTTGCCGGATGCCCCCAAAAAAAACTCCAAAACCCCAAACCCCAAGCCCGAAACCGTAAACCCCCAAATACCCCGAGGCCCGACACTTGGGAGTCGCACCTGGAGCAGTCG